CCCCCACCCCACAAGAAGTAGTCGGCATTTCACTGGAAGTTACCAAAAGCAGCCTCGGCACCCTAGGGGCGCCGTCACCTGAAAGGAACCCCCTGAAAGGAACCCTACGATCCTGGCGCTTGCAGGGTCGTTTAGGGCTCGGGAACTCTGTGCTTGACGTTTCTAGGTCGCGTTGAAGGGCGGCGGACTTTGGGCGGGGCTTGTCGGAAAATCGGTTTAAGGCTTAGGGTTTGCGGTTTGGGCTTTAGGGGTAGCCTTGGAGGGCGGACTCAGGCGGGTCTTGGAGGAAGCTTAGAGTGGACTTCAGGGTGTAGTGTAGCAGTTGAGATGTGTTTGATAGGGTTTCATGGGGGTCATCGACTGCTTCAGTCTTGAGGATAAGATAGAGTGTAATACAGTACCTGTAGGTCTAGGGCTTAGGGTAGAAGCCCGGTGTCATGGACCTGAAATCCCGCAACACCCTTATTCACCCTAAGCCCTTCACCCCTCTGTAAGCCCCAACCTCGAGCACCTCGTAAGTCCCTTAACCACTACAAAAAAAAAGTACCCTTAGAGGCCCTATAGGACCTCTTATAACGGAACCTTGAACCCTAAACTCCAAAAACCCTAAGCCCTAAAAACCCTAAACCCTAAACCTTGGACCACTGAAAGGAACCCTTTGACTCGCCTTCGGGTAGACATGCACCAGCTTCAGGTTCCGCTGTGTGTCCTCAGAGTCGCTCGGTTTGGGGTTTAGGGTTTTTTAGGGTTTAGGGTTTAGGGTTTAGGGTTCAGGGTGTGTGTGTGTGTGTGTGTGTGGGTTTAGGGTTTATAGGGCCTCTAGGGTTTATAGGGTTTATAGGGCTTAGGGTTTAGGGAGGTACATACCTATAGTCTCCATAGTAGCTAACTTTTTTGTAGGATCCAAACTATAGGACGGGTAAACCCAAAAAGGAACGGAACTGGACACCGTAGGTAAGTCATTGCAGGTACCTCAACCCTGAACCTTCCGCATGTGCAACAGCCTGTACGACTTTGAAAGGGGCAAGCCATTTGTACGTCGACATTTCCATCCTAAACCCTAAGCCCTCAATCCTCAACCCTAAACCCTGAACCCTGAAGACTGCAAAAGATGCTAAACATTATGTAACACATCTAGGAGCCTTTCTTTGACCAAAAACATGGTCCTTAGAAGCTCAGGGTATACCTGGACCCTGTAAAACCTACCTTTTAAGGGATCCTTATGATTTCTATATATATATATACACACATCAAGTATAAGTCCTCAAAGAGGGGTCCCTTTAAAACTGGTCGCAGCTGCACTCGAACCCTTGCAAACTTCCTGGCGCTGCAGAGCTTTCGAGCTCCAGGGAAAGAACGAAAGAGCACGAACCTGCGAGACCAAATCGTAGCTATTACTTCTATGATTCTCTAAACCCTAAACCTCTAAACCCCTTAAACCCCTTAAAC